GAGGAGGAGGAGGAGGAGGAGGAGGAGGCCAGCGGCAGGGAGGGGGGCGAGGGAAGCGCCGGCACCGGCTGGCTTGGCGCTCGCTGCAGCGCCCCCGAGGGGCGGCCGAGGGCGCCCCTGGGCGGAGGACGCCCCCGGAGGGGCGGCCGAGGGCCGAGGGCGCGCCGGAGGGCCGAGGGTCGAGGGCGCGCCTCCTCCTCCTCCTCCTCCTCCTCCTCCTCCTCCTCCTCCGCCTCCTCCTTCCTCCTCCTCTCCTCCTCCTCCTCCTCCTCACCCTCCCCCCCCTCCTCCTCCTCCTCCTTCTCCTCCTCCCTCTCCTCCTCCTCCTCCCTCCTCCTCCTCCTCCTCCACCTCCTCCTCCGAGGGCCGAGGGCGCGCGGGGCCGAGGGTGCCCCTGAGGGGCGGCGGAGGGTTCCCCTGGGCGCTGAGATGAGACCAGGCTGAAAACGGTCCGAGTGGGGAGCCGCGCAGGATGCATGCACGCACGGAGCGCGGCGAGGAGGCTCTCTCCTGAGATTTGGCTGGGGCATCCGGGAGCCTCCTGCGGCCCTCGAGGGGGACGGGGGGGCCGAGTTGAGCGAGCCAACGACGGGGAGGCCAAGTTGAGCCAGCTACTTCGAGGTCGGGCGTGCCCAAAGTCAGTGACCCTGCAACCCCGCCCCCGGTCGATTTTCCCGTCCCCCTCGAACGCGCATTGTTAATTCGGCCAGGGGGAAGAAGCTCAGCACGCCTGGAAACCCAGAAGGGGTTGACGGAGTTTGGCAGAATCGGAGGCGTTGCAGTGTAGAGGTCGATTGGATCTCTGCGACGGGACTCTGTCGTTGTGTTCATCGCCGCAAGCATGCGAACGCCAGCGCGACACGTGAACAGTACGCTGCACTGATAGTGTCACAGCGCTTCTACGTCAACATAAGCTGGTGTGGCACACGATCTCCCATTACTGTCCATGTCTGACCGAGGACGTGGCGGACAAAAAGGCGCATCATCATCCCCCCATCCCCGTCCTCAGCCGACGAACGCCGACGCCGCTTACGACGACGAACGACGACGACGACGAACGACAACGACGACGAATGACCGACGGCGCCGACGAACGACCGACGACGCCGACGCTGACGATGTCTGAGACTGTGGAGATCGGAAAGAGCGTGTTCTACCGCTGCTGGCGGAAAACCTGGGGGGGTCACTGCCGGTTCGAACCCCTCCCCCCCCCCCCTCCGGAAAACCGGGGGGGGGTCACTACCGGTTCGAACCCCTCCCCCCCCCCCCAGTTCATCATGAAAAGGGGGGGGGTCACTACCGGTTCGAACCCCCCCCCCCTCGAAAACCGAGTGGGGGTGCGGACAGTGGTGGGGACGGCGTTGGTGGGGACAGTGGTGAGGGGATAGCGGGACAGTGGTGCAGACAGTGGGACAGTGGGACAGTGGTGGGGACGGTAGTGGTGGGGACAGTGGTGGGGACAATGGTGGGAACAGGGGGGGACAGTGGACAGTGGTGGTGACGGTGGTGGTGGGGACAGTGGTGTGGGGACAATGGGAACGAAGTGGAAACAGTGGGACAGTGGAGGGTACAATGGTGGTGGGGACAGTGGTGAAAGCGGTGGCGAGGACGGCGGTGGGACAATGGGACAGAGGTACAGTGGGGACAGTGGTGGGGACAGTGGGGACAGTGGTGGGAACAGTGGGACAGCTCAGTGGGACAGCGGGACAGCGGGGACAGTGGGGATAGTCGGGCAGTGGTTGGGTCCGTAGAGACAGTGGGGAGAGTGGAACCGTGGTGGGAACAGTGGTGGGAACAGTGGGGACAGTGCGACAGTGGTGGGGGCACTGGTGGGGACAGTAGGGACGGTGGTGGAACCAGTGGGGACAGTGGTGGTGAGGACAGTGGTGCTGGGAACAACAGTGGGATGTGATGTGGACGGTGGTAGGGACCGGGAGTCGTTTGCTGGCGGTGCGTGGGTGGAGGGGGGTCGAACCTGTAGTGACCCTCCTCGGGTTTTCGAGGGGGGGGGTTTCGAACCGGTAGTGACCCCCCGGGTGTTCCAGATCTGGGGGGGGGGGGGGGTAGGGGTTCGAACCGGTAGTGACCCCCCCGGTTTTCGAAGGGGAAGGGGGGGGGGCCCGGGGGGGGGGGTTTGGGGAGGGGGGGGTTTTGCCGGGGGAGAGGGGGGGGGGGAGGGGGGGGTTCCAGCAGGGGGGGGATTTTCGGAGGGGGGGGGGGCGACCCCCGGGCTCCGGAGGAAAAGGCTGGCAATTTTCCACAGTAAAGCGGCGGTGGATCACGCTCTCTCGGAGATCGAGAGTGCACTACCGTTTCCTTGGGCACCTCCTCGGGGCGCGAAGACAAAACCGCGCATCGCTGCGCTGCGGCCTGGGCTGATGGACGAATGTTCCACCACCGCTACCATAGATAGGGCGGGGGAGAAGAGAGGATGGAGCGGTTCTCCTCCACAATTACTCAATATGAATACTACTCTCCCTCTTCCCCTGATGACGGTTTGAAAGTATTAGCCCCCCCGCGTACGGTTTTTTACACAGGATTCCCCGGAGTTGGGTTTTCGCCTGCATTTTTTTTCAAAATGCTGCTCTCGCTGAGGCGCCGGCCTCATTTCCGGGCCCCGCTCGTTCCGAATCGTGCTCCCGCTGCAGCGCTGGCCTCATTTCCGTGCTTTCGCTCGTTCCGAATCGTGCTCCCGCTGCAGCGCTGCCCTCATTTCCGCGCTTCCGCTCGTTCCGACTCGTGCTCCCGCTGCAGCGCTGGCGTCATTTCCCGTGCCATGCCACGGCATGCAATGCAATGCTAGGTTGATACTACGCTTTGCGGTGCTCTTCTACGCCATGCCATGCCGTGCTCTACAATGCATCGCGTACCCTTTCGGGATCATTGCCCTGCTCGACATCCGACTGTGCGAGTAGAGAGGGGATCTACGCCATGGTAAGGGATGGGGGGAGGGGTAGGATGTCGGATATGACGCGGAGCGCAGCTTTGACCCCCCACCCTCCTCCTAGCTTGTCCCCCCCCTCCTCCCCTCCTCCTCCTCCTCCTCCTCCTCCTCCTCCCTCCTCTCCTCCTCCTCCTCCTCCTCCTCCTCCTCCTCCTCCTCCTCCTCCTCCTCCTCCTCCCTCTCATACCCATGGTAGTGGTCGCAGTGGGAAATCAGCCCGTTATCAGTGCCCTAGGTGACAGCCCTTCGATGTCTGTAGCCTTCTAGAAGGCCCCAATGAGGGTGCCCGCATGCGTCCGCCACACCCAGTACAGCGTTCCGTGGCCCCATACGGAGCTCCAGCGAAGGCTCCAGAGGGGGTGCCCGCATGCGTCGGCCACACCCAGTACAGCGTTTCGTCTTTCCCCATAGAGAGTTCCAACGAAGGCCCCAGTGGGGGTGCCCGCATGCGTCCGCCACACCCACTACTGCGTCCCGTCTGGCCCGATAGAGAGCTCCACCGAAGGCCCCAGTGGGGGTGCCCGCATGCGTCAGCACACTCAGTACAGCGTCTCGTGGCCCCATAGGGAGCTCCAGCGAAGGCTCCAGTGGGGGTGCCCGCATGCGTCCGCTCCACCCAGTACAACGTTTCGAGGCCCCAAAGGGAGTTCTAGCGAAGGCCACAGTGGGGGTGCCCGCATGCGTCCGCCACACCCAGTACAGCGTTTCGTGGCCCCACAGGGAGCTCCACCGAATGCCCCAGTGGGGGTGTCCGCATGCGTCAGCCACACCCGGTACAGCGTCTCGTGTCCCCATATGGAACTCCACCGAAAGCCCCAATGGGGGTGCCCGCATGCGCCCGCCACACCCAGTACAGCGTTTCGTGGCCCCATGGGGGGCTCCACCGAAGGCCCCAGGTGGACCGCCCGCATGCGTCCGCCACACCAAGTACAACGTTTCGTGGCCCCATTGGGAGCTCCACCGAAGCTCCTAGCAGGACCACCTGCACGCGCCCGCCACAACCGGTACAGCGTTTCGCGGCCCCATAGGGAGCTCCACCGAAGGCCCCAGTGGCACCGCTGCGCCCCCCCCACCCAGTACAGCGCTTCGTGGCCTCATAGGGAGTTCCAGCGAAGGTTCCAGTGGGACCGCCCGCATGCGTCTGCCGCCACCCAGCACAGCGTTTCGTGGCCCCATAGGGGGGCTCCACCGAAGGCCCCAGTAGCACCGCCCGCATGCGTCTCCGCAACCCATTACAGCGCGTCGCGACCCCACAGGGAGCTCCACCGATGGCCCCAGTGGGACCGCCCGCATGCGTCCCCCCCACTCATTGCGGCACGCCCCATCACGCGTTGCGTGGCCCACAGGAAGCGGTACCCACAACGCGTTACTCACAATTACATATGGTTGGTCTTTCGCCAGGATAATTTCCCTGAGAGTTTGGCCTCACGTTTCTCTTTCAGGCTTCCCCCCCTATGTTGATGCGAGCTGGGCCGGCGGAATTTTACGTGACACATGCCGATGTCGAAGTAGGCTGGCGAAATTGAATATTGAGGGTGTCTCGAGCAACACGCGGTTTCTTTTGAACTTCCGCTCGTTACATAACGAGGTTGATTGAGATTAGTGGTCGGTTGCAAAAGTGTCGAACGAAACGCTCGCTTTCCAGAATTTGTTGAGAACGTCTCGAGCGGAACGCTTGTGTTGGAGCCTTCCAGGAGCCTGGACGCCCAAGGTCTCCAGGGGGCCCTGGGAGCGCGGACGCAGCGCAATGTATAAGGGATCGTGGCCCAGGGAGCGCGGACCCGCGTAATGTGCGACGGATCGCGGCCGAGGAGGAGGAGGAGGAGGCGGAGGAGGAGGAGGAGGCGGCGGGGGGGAGGGGGAGGGGGAGGAGGAGGAGGAGGAGGAGGAGGAGGAGGAGGAGGAGGAGGAGGAGGAGGAGGAGGAGGAGGAGGAGGAGGCTGTGAGTGCGAATCTAGCGTCACTGACGAGCGCTGTGGCCCTGGGATCGTGCAGCCCGCGCGATTCGCGCGGGCGTCTCGCCCTGGGAGCGCGAGGCCCGGCGTCGTGCCAGAAGGATCTCGGCACTGGGCGCGCGAAGCCGTCGTGATTGACGAGGGATCGTGGCCCTGGAAGCGTGTACAGTCAACCTTGGCATCGCTCGGGCGTGTGCATTTTTCCTCGGCGAGGACCATCGAGGACCATCCTGGACCATCGAGCAACAAAAACACGCACGAAACCGAGAAATGCACGGGAAATGGACGTCCGAGCGACGGCGAGCAACCCGCATAGTAAGGATGGTCAACCTTCCCAAGGGTACCCTTGCATCCTTGCCTCCTCGGTCCATCCTTCGCCGCTTTCGCTGGCCGCGTTGCGCTCGGAAAGCTTCGAAGTGGGCGTCCAAGGCCCTTGCATCCTTATCGCGCACCCTTACTATACTGGTTGACTGTATCCGTCTCAATATATGATGGGTCGTGGCGACGGTGACGACGTCGATTTGCTTGTTGCTGTGGCTCGATATCTTGTGTGTTTTCTTTTTCCTGATAGAGACCCTACGGGGGCGCCCGGTGTTCCGATTCCCCCGCCCCCCCCAGAACAGAGACGAACCCTCCTCCCCCTCCCCCCCTCCCTGGCCAGGAGGGGGGAGGGGTGGAGGGTTCGTCTCTTTGGGGGGCGGGGGAGTCCATGGGGCCGCGATAGGGCTCCATAGGGATCCTGTAGGGCCCCATGCGGCTCCTAGTGGGTTCCGCAGGATTCGTGTAGGGCTTCCAAGCCCCGCAACGGATCTTGTAAGGATTGTAGATGGCTTTCTGCGGAACCGTCAAGGATCCCTGCGTAGCCCACTCGGAGCCTTG